AATTACAATTTACCTTTTTTTGCAACTTCCATTTCTTCTTCTGTCCATCGAGAGGTCTCCACAGGCTCTGCAGAAACTGAAATAAAGAGAGAAGCCAATCAGGCGGAGAAAAAGTTAAATCCTTCATTCGGACCAATCATATAATTATATAACCTATTTATCTGAAATAAAAGACTGAATAAAACATTTGGTGAAAGAAACTACAGACATAGGATAGTATCAACCTCTCCATCACCAAACTAGAAGAAACAAGTCAACACTTCTCAATATTATGATCTTTCTCAGTGTTCTCGAAAGTTCTCTCCATGTTTACATTTTTTAACAACTTTAGCTTATTTTTGGACCCAGTAGCTTCCCACTTAATATATCTCCACTCCCACTTAGTAGACACTCCTCTCCTGCAGTGTCAAAGGAAGAAGCAACCCTCCTCTTTCCTGTCTAAGCACAATTCCCTCTGAGCCTCCATCTTGTCCTAACTCCTAGAGACCCTTTAGTTCATCCCCAAGTGTCTGATATCCAGTGGGTAAAGATGGATCATGAACTGAATACATTCTCTTTTGCTTCAGGCAAAAAAAAAAAAAAAAACCTGAGAGGATCAGGCCTGATATGAGCTCATATTCTCTTTCTCAATTTACAGTTCTACCATTCACTCACTCAAGTTTTTAACAGGCATCTTAGACTCATAAACTAATTTCTGAATCCTGCCTCCCATTTACCACTCATAACCAATGACATGCAGCAACTCTGAATGCATTCCCTCCTTGCTTGGGCCACTGCAGTCCCATGACTGGGCCCTCTGCCTCCAGCCCTTATTCTGTCTAACCTGACCTCCACAATTGCTACCAGTTAACTTTCTAAGACACAGATCTAATCACAGCATTCCTCTATTTAAAAATCTCTGCAAGTTCCCCACTTCTTAATCAAAGCAGAATGTAGTTCAAACAAGGCCCATCATGACCTGCCCCAGCCTCTTTCCTCCTCCTATCTCGTTAGTGCCCCTACCTCATTCTTATCATTCCCTAAACTCCATTTTCTTTCATACTTCATGTTACAGTAATAATGGTACCTCTGAATCATTAACAGTGGTACTCTATCATTAATATAGTCCTTTTATAAACTAATGAGACAATACTTAGAGAGAAAGATGCTTGGACTATTAGATCCAGTATTCCCTTGCTCAAGAATTTATTCCATGAAAAATAATTTACATAAAGAAAATACTATGTGAATAAAGATTTTTTTATTATATTGCTATATAAATTGGCTTAAAAGCAGGGAAGAGAACGGACAGCCTAATCATTCAGCAATAAGAGAATGGTTAAAGAAATCATGCTTCCATATTAAACGGCCATTAAAAAAATGAAAATTGCTTAGAAATTAGAAAGTATTTATGATATATACCAAGTTAATATATCGGAAGACACAGTAACATGCACACTAGCATAACAACTAAGTAAAAAAGAAAAACAGCTCTATTGGGGAGGCAAGACTGTGGGTGACGCTCTTTTTGAAAAGATTTTGATATTGAAAGTTTAAAAAAATTTAAAGACCACACTTCAGGATTGTTTCTAGGTTGTCAGTACTAAAAGTCCCTCCTACCCTATCCTAGCAGTGAAACAGAATCCCAAACAAAATTATGGTCTGTTTATGCCAATCTCTTCCACTCACTGGGTTCTGGTGGCGGTGGCAGAGGTGGTGGGGGCTCTTCAGTGGCCGCTGCGGCTGCAGCGCTAGCAGCTGCGGCTTCGTTTGTCATGGACCTGGTGATCCGGCCCTTACGGCGGCCCTGACTGTTGGCAGTCTTTCGCCCCCGGGGTGTGGCTTGCTCTCTTTCCTCAGTTTCTTCTGCTGTACCATCCATCTTGTCCTTTTCCTTGGTATTTTCTCTGGACACAAAAGCAAATTAAAACTGTGATTCAAAAGTATACATACATCAAAGAAGGTTTTGGTTTTCGATATCATTTAAACATAAATTGAATAATACTGCCTAATCTCTCAGTTACTTAAAAAAAAAACTTATCAACAATTCTGCCACACCATAAGAGTTCTGACCAGCTGAAATTAAGATATTTTATAAGACCTATTTTAAATGTTAATGGACTTAAAATTTAAACACATTTCAAACCAACTGATTTAGAAACCAGAACTACTCCATGAGAAAGTAACAAATGACAGCAGAAAACCTCTAGACCTGCAATCCAAAGGCAATAGGCTATATCAAAAGGCAGGAATTCTGGGGTTTTCTTTGCCTTTGCTCTAGGTTGCCTCATGTATGAAGTTAAAACAGACGATCTTCATGATAGATGCCTTTTCTACTGTAATAATCCACAACATTGTTTTATAAAACCAGACCAATACTCTAAATCATGCCTGATACTAATTATGTACAAATTGGGCAGTAACTGTTAATGCTTAGGAATGGCCTCTGGAGCCAGGCTGCCTGGGTTGATACCACAGTTGTGATTTACTAGCCATGTGATGACCTTGGACAAGCTGCCTCACCTCCATGGGCCTCGGTTTCCTCATCTGTACAATGAAAAAAAGAGTTTATTCCATGGGACTGCTGCCAGAATTAAAGGAGTTAAATAAAGTGCCCAGAACAATGCCTGGAACACAGTCAGCATCAAATGAGTTTGCTAAGGCTCTCTCAGGATATAAAGTGCTTACCATCATCTCAAGCATGTAGAAAAATAGTAGTTCCTATTAATAGCAGCAGTACTACATGTAATACTAGAAGACCATTCTCCGTACTACTTACCTTCCATGGTTGTTATATTTAAGATAATGTATTCAATGTACATTTTTGCAAATGAATGGATAGGTGGGAATACTCAAAGACTCAATTATGCTTGGTTAATGGAAGATTTTTTTTTCCAAAAATAATTCTCTCCCCTTCAGTCCTAAATTAAAGTTATCACATTCTCTTTACTTACTTATTCCCTCATAAAGCTGGCTTCTATTCTGCAGCCTCCTGTTAAAAGATGTTTTCTGAAAAGTCACCAATGACTTGGAAGCTGCAAAATCAAATGACCTCTTCTCAATTTTCCCTACAACAGTCTTTTTGTCACAACTGATGCTGCGGATAATTCTTCTTTTTATATCACTTTAAACTTAGTTTTTGAAATATCCCCGCTGTTATTCTGGCTCTCCCTCTCGGGATTGACCTTTCTCCTCCCATTCTTTCTTTTGGGTTTTATTTTTTTGTTTTGGTTTGTTTGTTTGTTTTTCTGAGAAAGTGTCTCGCTGTCACCCAGCTGGAGAGCAGCGGCGCGAACACAGCTTACTGCAGCCTCAATCTGCTGGGCTCAGATGAGCCTCTCACCTCAGCTTTCTGAGTAGCTGGGACTACAGACACATGCCACCATAACTGGCTAAATTTTTATTTTTTGTAGAGATGAGGTGTCACCATGTTGCCCAGGATGGTCATGAATTCCTGCGCTAAAGCAATTCTCCCAGCTTAGCTGTGATTACAGGAGTGAGCCACTGTGCTGGGCTCCTCTCATCCTTTCATATAGGGATTTCCCCTGGAGCCTTAGAGCTACATGGGGTTACCCATTCTCGTAAGTTCTACTGGGAAGACTCCCAGTCTTTATCTTTGGACTCACCCCCCAACTCCCAACTGGAGGGGTTGTCTTCCCAACTACCTGCTAGAAGGGCCGCCTGGATTTCCCATCAATAGAAACTGAATATACTCAAAATCATATTCATCCTCACCTCTGCTCCTTGCTCTACCTCATTCTCTAATCATTTGTTGTTAACACTACTACCATGCTCATCATCATTCAGGTTTACAGATTAGATATCATCTTTAGCTCTCTCCCTTTTCCTATACTTCCTATATGTAATCTAATGCCAAGTTTTGGTTATTTCATCTTAGAAATGCCTCTCTCTAACTAATGCTACTATCTCTATTTCTGCTACCACTATACTTATTCAATACCTTAGTACCCCAATCCTGGCCTTCCATACTGGCTTCCCTGATTTATACCTCTACTATTCATTCTACCTTGCCAATGGATCAGTATTCTAGCAGGATAGCTTTGGCAATAAACCACTCCATCCATTCCAATCCTTTTCTAACTATTCCCAAACAGATACACAGCATAGCCACCTGAATGTGGTCTAACACTTTTGGCTTTCACTACAGCTCTACAAAATCTAACTCCAATCCACCTTCCACTTCCCTTCTCGATGCACACTATGTTAAGTCTAATGAAATCATTATCTGCCACTTCTCAAAGCAGCGTAGTTATTCCTGCGGTTCCCTCTACCCTACCCACAGTAACCACTAGCTTCTGCATAAAGTCCTCCAAATTATCCAGAAAGAAGTATCTCGACCTCTTCTTAATCTGCCAAAGCACTTAATTGGTTGTCTGCTGATTTCTTACTGCCAGGCTTTTATTTCTTAAAGTATCACTTGTACTTTACCTAGTTTTCCCCTACTACATCATGAACTACCTGGGAATAGTATATATCTTATGTATTTTCACATTCTCCATAAGACTTAGCTCAGATAGATAATAAATGAAAGCTTGTTAAATAATTTAGAAATTTTAACAAAAAAATAAAATCCAGATATGATAGAGTCCTATGTGAGAAGAACCGCTGGCTACATGGCATAATAAATGTCTAACCTAAACTAAAAGAAAAAAATATATTCTCTTATTGGTATCTTCATAAAGTATAAATGTACAATGACAGGAATATCTGTCTCTTTTAAAACCATGGCAAGTGACTAGCTACTTCAGCTGCCACAAAACTAGGTAGACCTTAAGTATTTCCACAAGGACCATAGAAATAACGTATTAAACATTAAAAAGGAATAAACTGATACATTCAACAACCTAAACGAATTTCAAAGGCATTCATGCTAAGTAAAAAAGCCACAAAGAAGATGACATACTGTATGACTTCATTTTTACGTAAATCTAGAGAAAGCAAAACAGATCTGTGACTATCTGAGGTTAAGAATGAGGAAAGAAAAACTGACTGCAAAGGAGCATACGGGAACTGTTTGGGGTGATGGAAACATTCTACATCACAACTGTGATAATAGGTACACAAGTACATATGCTCGTCAAACACATCAACGAACACATTTCAAACTGGCGAATTTTGTTCCATGTAAATTATAAAGCTCGTTCTTGGGAGAAAAACAACCAAACCAACTGTTGTGTCCCTACCCCTACCTCACCCCTGTATATACACAAAAGCATCAACAATAACTGTCTCTGAGTGGCAGAATCATAGGTTAATCTTCTTTTTTTTTTTTTTTTTTTTGAGACAGAGTCTCACTCTGTCGCCCAGGCTGGAGTGCAGTGGCGTGATCTCAGCTCACTGCAACCTCCACCTCCCGGGTTCAAGCAATTCTCCTCTCTCAGCCTCCTGAGTAGCTGGGATTACAGGCGCACGCCACCATGCCCTGCTAATTTTTTGTATTTTAGTAGAGACAGGGTTTCACCATGTTGGTCAGGCTGGTCTCAAACTCCTGGCCTCATGATCCACCCGCCTCAGCCTCCCAAAGTGCTGGGATTACAGGCGTGAACCACCGCGCCCGGCCATAGGTTAACTTTCATTTTATTTTTCTTTTCCTATTTTTCTATAACGTACAAGAATTACTTTTATAACCAGGAAAACAGCAACAGCAGCAACAACAACAACAACCAAACCAAAGACTCCATTTTATATAAAGTCAATAAAGACGGAATCTAAAATATAAAATGAAAACTCTTCCTTTCTTAGCATTTTTACACTATCCAATACATACTACCTGAAGCTCAAAAGAAGATCCTGATAATGATTAAATTACATTCAATATATCCTGGGGGAAATGTATATATTACTATAACCCAACCCTTCTGAAAAGTAATAATAACTCATAACTTGTACATAAGTTCATTAAGTCAAAAGTTACTTAATACTGTAATATTCTATTCCTTAATCACATCAACTTAATCATGTAACTATTAGATGTATCTAAAATTTCGGCCAGGCACAGTGGGGCACACCTGTAATCCCAGCGCTTTGGAGGCAGAGGCAGGTGGATCACCTGAGGTCAGGAGTTCTAGATCAGGTCGGGCAACATGGTAAAAGCCCATTTCTATTAAAAATACAAAATTGGCTGGGCATGGTGGCACATGCCTATAATCCCAGCTACTTGGGAGGCCGAAGGTGGAGGTTGCAGTGAGCTGAGATCGCACCACTGCACCCCAGCCTGGGTAAGAGTGAGACTCTGTCTCAAAAATAAATAAAATAAAATTTCAGCAGATTAAATTTCATTATTTAAAAATAACTATACTTTTGCAGCAACATGGATAGAACTATAGAACTAAAGGCTTTTATCTTAAGTGAAATACCTCAGAAACAGAAGGTCAATTATTACATTCTCACTTATAAGTGGGAGCCTTATAATGTGGACACACGGATATAAATAAAGAGTGGAATAATAGACACTGGAGATTCAAACAGGTGAGAGGGTGTGAGGGGGTGGGTGAGGGATGAGAAATTACCTGATAGCTATAATGTACACTATTCGGGCAACAGTACACTAAAAGCACAGACTTCACTACTGTGTAATATATCCATGTGACAACTGTACTTGTACTCCCTAAATCTACAAAAATGACATTTAAACATTTAACTTATTGTATAATTATTTAACTCACTTAGAGTCTTCTTTTTCATCTTTTTCTTCTTCATCTTTCTTTTCTTCGTCTTTTTTTTCTGCTTTTTCTGCTTTATCCTCTTCTTTTTCTTCTACTTTTTCTTCTTGTGAGGGTCGGGCAATTTGCTGCTAGAATGAACCATCATTTGTAAAATTCAAAGGCAACAGAAATAGCTCCTTATATTACGATAAATTATGTCTATCTAAACAACTTTTAAATGATTGTAAGTCATTTAAAATGTAACTGGTGATCATGTGTTAAAAATCAGTCTAGCGGTTTTTAATGCACTACTTAAAGGGTCTTACACACACACACACACACACACACACATACACACACACACACACAAATGCTCATAGCATTTGGACCCATGAGAAAGTGAAAATGTTAAGATTTCACTTAGAAATCTGGGGTTGGTTCCCTTTTTTGGCAACCTCCACATCTAATCTGTCACTCAGGTATTCCAATTCTACCTTAAAATTTGATAACCCATACATAATTTATCATGGATTAGATACCTAGTATGTTTCCAACTTTTTCATGACGATCAATAAGGGTATAAGAAACATCTTTATGCAGCTATATTTTTGAGAGAATGTCTACTTAATAGAATAGTAGACAGCTATGGTCATTACTAAGACTGAAGTAATTTGGAAAAATATTAAAAATATAATAAAGTGAACAGAAGTAAAATGCTTAAATATTTCTAAGCTGGGCAGTCAGATTAGAAACCCTTTTATCTCCGATGTCTCATTTGCAAAAGCCCTGTGACTTGAAAAGAAACAAGTGAAGCTAAGAATGCACTGACTGCTACTATAGTAGTCCCCACCATATCAGAGTTTCATTTTCTGTGGTTTAAGTTACCTAGAGTCAACTGCAGTAAGAAAATAAGTGAGTGCAGTACAGTAAAATATTTGAAAAAAGATCACATTCAGGTAACTTCTATTACAGTATATTATTATAATACTTCTATATTATTTGTTACCATTAATTCTTTACTGTGCCTAAGTTTACCATAGGTATGTATATATAAATTTATATATATATAAATCAAAGTTTATCATATATATAAATTTTATAAATATATATATAAATTTTCTTTTCCCCTAAGTTAACAAAGGCCTTATTTGCCTCCACAAAACAAGTCCCACATTATGCCTCCTTCTAATCCAAGGGGGAAGGAAAGAAGAAAATGAATCCTTCTTGGTCCACTTCCAGAACACTGCTGAACTGTGATATTTTAAAAATAATTCCTTTTTCATGTTTCATGAAATCTCCCTCTGACAACATTCTCTTTTGGTGTTATGGAATGACTTCTTAAATATTTCCTACAACATATACGTGATTGCATCACATGGCTCATTGCAGCTTGACATTATTTTTCAGATTTCAAAATGCATGTCAATGGCTTTTCTAACACTTGCCATTCAATCAACATAACATCTGACAGTTAAAATACTTTTAGGTCATGCCCATTAAACTCCCCTCAAGCAAAATCACAATTGCCTCATCAGCAATGGGCACTGCTTTGCCTTACAGATCCTGAAATCAGAAAGTCTCCTCTCCAACTACAACCACCCACTGCATATCTTCATTGTGGCTGATCCTGCTAGGTCTTCATCGTAACGTTTGAACCCTTGTTCTATCAAATTTTCACAGTCCAGTGAGAACTGCACCCATTAATCTACTTGGTAAATCATTTCAATACCATGATTCCTTCGCTTGCTTTATCTAACCTTCCTAATTTCTCACCCTGGCTGCCAGTTTCTCTTTCTTTTGGGTATTTATTGCTACAGAAAACTCATAAACCAGGAAGATTTTAAAATTTAAGCTTTCAAACCGTGAGTAGCTGCTTTAAAATCAGGGAAGTTTTACTCAGCTCTGACTCCCTGGGACACTGTACTGGTCATAAGACCTGTTTAAATGCTAATAACCTAACCCTGCAACCAATGTAGCATCCATGTGTCACTCTGAACCAGTAAGATGGCATAGTAAGGACAAATCATGCCTTTTGCCTAGCAAGTGAGCTGTGTAACCCAGAAAATTGTTTATAGCCTAAGACGATGGGGCCATGTCAACTCAGTAGAATGTAGGAAAAAGGTTCAGTATTCCCTTAGCTTGCGTAACACATGCTAACCTTATTTCCCCAATATTTTTCTGCTTCCAATGCCAACCAGAGCTTCAAAGTAATCCCACACATTCCCTGCTGTCTAAAATGCAGCCAACAGATAACTTCACTCCCCTTTCCCTGGTGCTAGGGACTAAGAAACAACCGCAGCACCTGCTTAAACCAATCACTGTAAAGAAGGAACAGCTCCTGGCTCTGAATAAAGTGTGGAAATGATCCAAAGCAATGGAGAGAGTTGCTGGATTCGAGTCTAGAGAAGTGTGTGGCACCTGTCCAGCAGAACCTCTCACCACTCTGTATACTGACCGGGCAGTGGGGAGTGGGGAGGAAGCGCAGTTAGCAACAACTGGGGGACCTCACCTTTGTGCAATATGCGTAAAGACCTATCACAACAACTGCCACTGACATCCAAGAGAGTAAGGGATTACCTCCAATTTAAACAAGAGATGGTTGGAACTACTTTTGTTTCTGGCAAATCTGTAAAGAGAAGTGCCAATCAATCCACACAGTCTAGGATGAAGGTTACAAGTTACATCCCTCAACTCTGCAGGGTGGCTGGAGCAAAAGAGGTCCATACCTTCAAGAGAAACCCTTTTAAAAGTTCCCTACACAGACGCAAATATTCTCAGTGGCTCCTTGTTCAGGTTTTTCCTTTTTCCTCCTTCTTTAAGCCCAATACTTGAGAGTCAATGAAACAAGTTTATTTCTGTCCAGGAGTTAATATAACCTGAAACATTTCTATCAAACAACAAGCTATTCGCTATAAATGAATATTCAAGGGCAAGTGTAAAACAAAATAAAAATTCAAATAAAAAAAGTAAAAGTTAAGTGTATTTCTTTTCTTTATTTTTATTGTGACACAGGGTCTCGCTATGTCACCCAGGCTGGAGTGCCACGGCGCAAGCTTGGCTCACTACTCTTTTTTCTCTCTCTTTCTCCCCTCTCTTCTCTCTCTCTCTTTTTTTCCAGATAGGGTCTTGCTCTGTCACCCAGATGGGAGTACAGTGGCATGATCTAGGCTCACTGTAACCTTTGCCTCCCAAGCTCAAGAGATTCTCGATTCTCCCACCTCAGCTTCCAGAATAGCTGGGGTTACAGGCGTGCACCACCACTCTCAGCTAATTTTTGCATTTTGAGCAGAGATAGGTTTCAGCATGTTGCCTAGGCTGGTCTTGAACTTCTGACCTTAAGTGATTCACCGGCCTCAGTCTCCCAAAGTGTTGGGATTACAAGCGTGAGCCACCGCACCCAGTCGCGAACTATATATTTATCTGCTGATAAAAATTATTTCCTATAAATAGGAGGCTGGGAGTAGGGGATAGGGAGAGCAATCAAATGCAAATTGACAGGATCTAGCATAAACTTCAGCAGAACTCTAAAGAATCATTTAAATAAATATGCCATAATCCCTGTGAGATTACCTGAGGTAATCTTCCTGACCATAGCTTGGTTGCATGGCAGAGAAGTAAAGTGATTTTCAAATTAGTTGGATCTCTGTATCCACCATCTCCATATCAACAAGAGAGTTGATACAGAAAATTTTGAAAATCTTAGCCTTGTAACTCAATTCTGTTTTTAAAAAGAAATATTTCTAAAATTTTTTCTATACAGCAAATTCTCTATCTTTAACCCAGACCTTTTTCCTACACTCCAGACTTCTATGTCTAACTACCCGCTTTACTTGGACATCTCATTTGCATCTCTGCTTAGATACCTACTAGGTATTTCAAATTCAGCCATGTCCAAATTTCCCCTCAAAATCTGCTCCTCCTTCAGTCATGCCTATCACAGCAAATGGCAACTCCACAGGTCAAAACTTGGGTGTTTTCCTTGATTACTGTCCTTCCCTCATCCCCACAATCAAGCCATCGCAAAATCTTTTGGTTTTACCTTCAAGAGTACATCCAGAAACAAATCCATTCTCCCCACCGCCTCATTATAGCCTAGTCCAAGCCAATGGGCTTATTAAAATAACCTCCTAAGTGGTCTCTGCTTCTTCTCGTCTCCTTACAAACTGTTGTCAACACAGCAGCCAGACTAATCATGTCACAACTGTGGTCTGGCATCATTCTCTTGCTGAAAACCCCAGGGACTTCTTTTCTTACCTGCTGTCAGCTCTAAAAGCATTCAGTTTTATACAGAGAGCCCTTAAACTGACACCACCTAATTTCTGAAAAACTGTCCCTCTATTTTGACACGAATAAATGGAATGTATATAAAAACAATTAAAGAACAATGATAAATTTGGTGGCATGACATGATGGTCTAAATTCATCATTTAGCTCACACCTCTCCCAAATTCCCAATGAAACAGAGAAATGTAAAACTGGAGGAAAAATCTTCAAAGTAAAAAATAAAACAAAAAAAGAAAAAAAAAATCTTCAAAGTTAATAAGGGCAGGGCTAGCCTACCGAAAGTGCTGACCAACCCAAACTGAGCCTACCTGGGGGGAAAGCAACCTAAGGCTCAGGTCAAGGTGAGGGTGCACGTGGCAAGTCTCAGATCTGCAATTACATTCTGAGACAGGTACTCTGAAACATGCAACAAGAATGTACAGAAGAAAACACGGATATGGCTGGATCCTAACAAGGATCAGTGTGCCACAGAGAGGAGGGAAACTGTCTCCCAGACAACTTTAGGACAGAAACAACTGTTTCAGAATAACAAACATCCCTGCCCCACACAGCTTCCTGCTAGAGCTTTCTCCTGTAGCATCATGGGCAACTGGCGCCAATCTGGCAAAGGTAATGTACACTGTGTAAGTATCACCTTATCACCTTACATTAACATAGGACTGAATATTTTCAACAGTAACATATATAATTTCTAAAGATAAAGTTATAAATACTATTTTGTAATGAGGAATAAACACTGTTAAAAATTTGCAGCTTAAACTTGTTTAAAACATAGATGGTCCCTATCATCTCTAGCTAAAAGGGTATTACAAGACCTTGATTCCATGTTCTTTAGGGGAAACAGGAAGAAAACCCTGACAATATCCTTCTCTCTGGTAGAATAGTGCTTCCTATCTCACTGTCAATACTCAATTTATTCCTTTTCTGTCTGTACATCTTTATGAAGGTTGGCAAGCATCCATCCTTTGTCTTATTGCACCTGTCAGTATTGCACCTGTCAGTATTCAAGCATGCCCTTTTTCCTCCCTTCTCTGATCCCCATTAGCCCTATCGACCCATTTCACTATTCCACTTTATAAACAAATTTTAAAAACAAGGTCGCACTTCTGGCCACTTCCCTCACCTTCTATATCTTCTTCAACTCTGTGTAAGTGTGTTTCTGCCCCCTCACTAATCCACTGAAAATCCGTGTCTACAGCACCTTGGCTTACTCAACCTCTAGCAGCATTTTACACAGCTGACTAATGAAATACTCTCTATACTTTTTTAAACAAGAAATACTGTTTCCAAAGAACAGGTAATCACATCAAGTGGGGTGGTAGTGTCCTGTGGGAAATAATGACCCAGAAAACATAAAAAGGTTATAGCTGTGAATAATGAGAGAACTAGGTTAATAACCTGTATCTGGTAAGCAGGAGCTATCAAACGAAAAAAGGGAGTAAGACCCGACCCCAATAAAAGGGTGGATGAGTGGGAAAACCAGAAGAGACTTAATAATGCTAATGAACAGTTGCAATGTCAGAGTTCATCCATATAAGTCCTTACTGTAATATCTACCTAGGTGTGGACGGCAAGAGCCTCCATATTAGCTGTGGTGACTGCAGTAGCTCAGCAGCCTCACTGGTAAGCATCTGTGAGCTATGGCAGCTGCTGATCAGCTACTTTGGAGAAAACCATTCTGAAAGTACTGAATTGCAACTGTAAAAACTACCCTTTTTCAGTTTTATACTTGTGGAAAACTACCTTTAGGAAAGTGTCTTTTTTATTTTTCGGAGACCACAATCTTGCTCTGTCACCCAGGCTGGGGTTGCAGTGGCACAATCGGCTCACTGAAGCCTCGATTTCCCAGGCTCAAGCCATCCTCCCACCTTGGCCTCCCAGGTATCTAGGACTACAGGTGTGCACCATCATGCCTGGCTAATTTTTTCTATTATTTTGTAAAGACAGACGGTTCTCGCTATGTTGCCTAGGCTGGTTTTGAACTCCTGGGCTCAGGCAATGCTCTGGCTCCAGCCTCCCAAAGTGTTGGGATTATAGACGTGAGCCACCACACCCTGCCAGAAAAAGTGCTTTTTAGAAATTAAACTATCTAAACTCCACAAATGAAGTTAATATGAAATAAAATCAGGTTCCAGGTTTTTTAAAAGAATCCTTTATCAAGTTACCATGTTGTATTTCTCTCCTTTACTCTACCTGACCCCTCCTGAGATAAACAGACTGGCTTACGATGGTATATTAGTTAAGGGCTTCATATTTAATTACATAATTACTGCTGACACTGAAATGCATTACTCAGATGACAGAAGGGCATAAAACTTTTCTAATTAGTTTTATCACACTAGAAAATTAAAATATATTTGAAATACAAGATATACATTAAATATATATATGCAAAACACTTCAAAATAATTATAATATCCTCATTAATTTAACAGAAACATCAATGTTTCTACACTCGGGGCAGGACTTCTGTTGTAACACTTTTCACTTGCCTATTTCCACCAACCCTGAAACATCTTCTATACATTAAGAAAACACACCTGGTTTCTGCCTCTGCGTTTCCCATAATTTCTTCTCACTAGAGCTTTATAATTCTCATTTTTCTTTGTTAAATAATAATATAAAACACAATCAGGAACACTCTGTAAGAAATAAAACAATTACTTTTGAAGATCCAATGAAATAAAAATTTTTTTTAATTAAATGTTACTTTCAAGGAAAATCTCTGGTATTCTCAAAGTACAAATTAAAGAACACACATGGCTAGAATTTTAAGGCATATCTAGGGTCTAGAACTATTTACATTATATATACTATTTTAATGGACAGTTACAGTTGTTAATCCAAATTATGTGAAAGATGCCAGGAACTATCAGAAACATTCAAATATTTTCTTATTAACAAGTAAATTCCCCTTCGGACTACATATATGTAAATATTTAAAATGTCTTTATTGTGTTCAAAAACATTAAAATCAACTTTATATTTATTAAATATGGAATGATTCACAAATCTGCTTGTCATCCTTGCGCAGGGGCCATGCTAATTTCTGCACTGTTCTGATTTTAGTATATGCGCTGCTGAAATGAGCACAAAACTATTATTTTAATTAGAAATGTAATGAGGTTCAAAAAGCATTGTAATCTAGTGTTTTTAGGGAAATAAAAATCAGGTCATCTTTCATTAACCATTTAGTTCTGCATTCTAAGATTTCTATTATAATTGTAATTATCACTATATTAATCACATGAGATGCTTCGCAGCCTTTTAAAAATCGGTTCTACTTAACTACTTCTGTGTGTGTTAGGGTACAAGAATTTCAAAGTAACAACCATCACAAACTTATAAAGATTCCCAAAGCAAATCATGTCTTACCTTCCTCTCCAAATAGGATGCAATTAGTCCAAAGTTTTTTGGATGCTGGATAAACCTGAGTAAAAATGAAAACAAAAACACATTCACACACAAACATTTCAACAACTAAAAAAGAAAACTTGGGAAAAGAAATACTATGTACAGGCTGGGTGTGGTGGCTCACACCTGTAATCTCAACACTTTGGGATGCCAAGGCAGGAGGATCACTTGAGGTCAGAGTTCAAGACCAACCTGACCAACATGGCAGAACTCCATCTCTACTAAAAATACAAAAATTAGGCCGAACACAGTGGCTCATGCCTGTAATCCCAGCACTCTGGGAAGCTGAGGAGGGTGGATCACAAGGTCAGGACATTGAGACCATCCTGGCTAACACAGTGAAATCTCGTCTCTGCTAAAAATACAAAATAATTAGCCGGGCGTGGTGGCACGCACCTGTAATCCCAGCTACTTGGGAGGCTGAGGCAGGAGAATCGCTTGAACCAGGAGGCAGAAGTTGCACTGAGCCAAAATCATGCCACTGCACTCCAGCCTGGGCGACAGAGAGAGACGCGGTCTCAAAAATAAAATAGGGACGGGTGCGGTGGCTCACGCCTGTAATCCTAGCACTTTGGGAGGCCGAGGTGGGTGGATCACCTGAGGTCAGGAGTTCAAGACCAGCCTGGCCATCATGGTGAAACCCTATCTTTAAAAATAAATAAATAAATAAAATAAAATACAAAAACTAGCCGGGGATGGTGGCACATGTCTGTAGTCCCACCTACTATGGAGACTGAGGCAAGAGAATCGCTTGAATTCGGGAGGCTGAGGTTGCAGTGAGCTGAGATCACAACACTGGACTCCAGCTTAAGCGACAGAGCGAGACTCTGTCTCAAAAAAAAAAAAAAAGAAAAGAAATATTATGTATAGACTAATTCCCAGGGCTCTCTAACTGCCAATCTGAGGAACAACTGTAGAATCCCTGGAGACTTTTAAAGGGCACAGATTTCTGGGCACTGTATACCAGGAAATGACTGAATTGGTCTATGGTAACACACAGAAATTTGTACCTTATAAAAGCTCCACTGAAAGTTCTGACAGCACCTAAGCTTGGGAGCCACTCTTAACATGACTCTATAACCCCAGTTCTTATCTGTTACCTCTTTTCCCACCTACAAACTTACAGGCAGATCAATATTCTCTACTTTTCACAGAATCTATTCAAATGCCAAAATGAGGCCAAGTTTTTGTGAAAACAGTTCAATTTACAAGTAAATGCCAAATACTTTTTATTAACTTATGTAGAAGTCTATGGAAAATAATTAAAAATATAAATTACTTGTCCTTAAAGATCTCCTTTTCATGGTCAGTCCAAACATTCATAAACTGCCTGTCTTTATAAACCTTCATAGGGTCCTCCATAAGCCCATTCATATTAATGAACTTGACTCGTCTTTGTTCTGCATCAAACATCATAGGTGGAATCACAGAGAGCTGCCGCATTTGTTTCTCATTATTCTGGAAAAAAAATACAATTTACTTAGAATAAAATATAAACTAGAAATTAAGGAGGGCCATGGACCAATGTTCTCAATATATACTAAAAAATCATGTATACAGTTTAATGACAGTAACAGTGTATACCACAGCATCTAACATATAGTAATTACTCATAGGTCCAATAAATATTCACTGTATGAATTATAGAGGCAGAGAATATCCATATCATTTTTTAAATAATCCACTCCTTTGAGAAGAATTTTTTTAAACTAAGCTGATACTTAACATAATAAAATTTAAAACTGGAAGATAAAAAGTAATATCAAGTTCACTGAAGAGACGACCTGATGGAGCATTTAATTATCATATAGTCTCATTTTTTAAAATCTCAACATCATTTTAGACAACAACTCTTACCATCATATTAGAGAACAATAAATAGAAAAATAAGCCAACAGGCATCAAAATCTAAGTCACTGATTTTAAATTAAACTCATTTTACTATTAAATGGTTCTTAATTTTACATAATCTTTCCATTGAAAATTTAAGGCTTTTATTCTTAGAAACAAAGCTTGTTTCAATTAAAACTTTGTTATACATGTAGAACTTATTTTTCCCAAAGTTTAACTGACGAAATTTATAAGCACAAGCTTCTATTTAAAAACTTTTACCCAAATTACGAGTATTTACCCAAATATAAGAAAAGGTATTTCCCTAAAAATGTTCCTCATAAAAGTGGACGCCGCCTAACAGTCAAGTCCTTACAAAATCTCTAATTTCATGAGACACACTCAATCAGTTTGAATACTATAATGTTTCAGACACCTTAGATTGAAATGACATCAATACATAAACTAATTTTAGATGCTTACAGATGTTTCCTAATGGAATCAAAGAGCAAATAAAGAAACTTAATAAACATTTAATCGTCATTGTAGAAATAATGGCTACATATTCCAAGGGCTGAATGTCATTTCAATCATGTACTTTACAGGTAATTTTTAAAGCAATATAGAATAAGTGGTTATATTTTAAAGTTTTGAATATATTGCTACAAAAGAAATGAAAAATTGCTGGACACAGTGGCTTATGCTTGTAATCCCAGCACTTTCGGAGGCCAAGGTGGGAGGACTGCTTCAGCCCAGGAGTTCAAGACCAATCTGGGCAGTGTAGTGAGACCCCATCTCTACAAAATATTCTTTTTTAATTAGCTAAGTGATAAACTGGGTGTGGTGGCTCATACCTATAATCCCAGCACTTTGAGATGTAAAGGCAGGTGGATCACCTGAGGTCAGGAGTTCAAGACCAGCTTGGCCAACATGTTGAAACCCTGTTCCTACTAAAAATACAAAACTTAGCTGGGTGTGCTGGCATGTGCCTGTACTCCCACCTACTCAGGAAGCTGAGGCAGGAGAATCACTTGAACCTGGGACATAGAGGTTGCAGTGAGCCAAGATCATGCCACTACACTCGTCTGGGTGACAGAGTGAGACTCCATTTCAAATAAACAAACAAAAAGTTAGCTGGGTGTGGTGGTGTACCAGTAGTCCCAACTACTCAGGAGGCTGAGGTGGGAGGATCGCTTGAGCTTGGGAGGTGGAGGATGCAACAAGCCAAGATCACACCACTGCGCTCCAGCCTGGGTGACAGAAAAAGAAAAATCCACTTGTCAAAAAAATCCACTTGTCAAAAAAAATCCTATTTCAAAAAAAGAAAAAGAAAAATCCACTTGTCCTGACAATATGCAATATTATGTGCAATATGTATTTAGGGCTTGAAATAAAATTTAGCAAGGATAACATCATAATGTATTCCAAAAGAAGTATATCTCCAGGAATCTGGCCACAGTGAAGCTGGTGTGCTCTGAAACACTCTGGTAACTCAAAGGTGTCTCTAGAAATGGCAAAGGTCCTGAAATCACATAACAATGCACTGAAAAGCCTGAGTGTGGGATATTCCTCTGTGACTAAATATTGTGATTGTCCCTAAAGAGTTATGTGTTTCGATGGACCAAAAATCACTTTGGAATCCTCTCTTTGGGAAAGGAGAGTAGCAGGAGAAAGGAAAGAAAAACCACCTGTAAAAGACCATTTTGATCAGTATAAAAGCAATCTGAGAAGTAAAGTGGTTCAAGGAACTCTGAGATATAGTTTATATAGTTCTCTACCTCCTCCATGGCTAGTCTGACTAGAATTCTGAAACAAAGTAACTTATAAGAACATACAATATACTTTTATTCAGTTATGAATACAACACAGGGTACCGTAATCAAATACTGACAGAATCCTACCACAAATATCAACACAAAGACAAACTCTGTACAAATGGGCTATTTTTTCATCCTGGAGGAAAACTTACTACAACAGTTTCACAAATAATGTTTCATGAGATCAAGCAACTTGATAGCTTAATTCACCACTGTATTTCCAATGCCTAAAGGAAAGTTTGGCACGTATAAGGCTATAAATACTTGTTGAAAGAATAGACTTGATTGAATATAGACATGGAAAAGAACACACAGTTCCAGAGTCCAATTGCCTGGGTTGGGTATCTGGCTCCACTATGCATTAGTCTGTGACCTTAGGCAAATCATTTAACCTGCAGCTGGGCTTTAGTTTCTTCATTTGGAAAACAGCCATTAATTATAGCCTCTACTTCACAGAATTTTCAGAGTTTAATTAATACATATGATGTGCTTATCACAATTGGCAATTTTAAGTAATAACTACCCCTCAAATTTCCCCTCCTCAAAAAACCAAAGATGTAGCCAGTCCACCACAACCTAAACCAACAATATCCATAGAAAGAGGAGAAACATATTAGCTAGGTTAAGTAGTAGTAAAGGGTACAGAAGAGGAATTCATGACCCTGCTTTTTACTTTTGAATGTGCTAAGTAGTGTGTAAAAGGAATTTAACTTGTCTAAATTATTTCTAAATCATTCAACATTTTAGATTAAATCCACCTACTCCACTTAACTTTGCAAAATCGAGTATTAACTGTAAACTTGTCTTCAAAAAATATATTTATTTACATTTAACATTTATTTTGAAGTATAAAACATTATTAAAAATATCTTTGATCACTACTCAAGGCCATTACTTCAAATAAACAAGATTCTCAGAATTTTGAGACAAGGTTTAAGAAAAGTCATATAATAAAATCAAAACCAGCAAAACTCGGTCAATAGTAGGTGGCTTTCGGAACAATCTTGAGAATTTGACATGGCTAAGAAAACTCAATGACAGAAATGGAAATTTATTCTTACTCTGCATTTCTGTATTAATATACAAGTAAACATTAGGCACCAGGGACTCAAAGACAGCCTGATCCAAAGGTATAATAATCGCACTCATGAAGACAACACTTTAGCTGATCATAAATATTTATTAAACAGAAAGATAAACACAATAGAAATAAATGTAAACTGACACTAACTAGACATTGATTATTTCTGTTTTGGGAAAGTGAGTGAGGAAGCTTCACAAGGGAGGAAATGTTTCTGTTGGGTCTGGAGATAAATTCTTCTTCAAACGTATACCTTGGTATCTACTAGCTGTTTCATAATTTTATTAATTCTGCTCTTTACACAGGCAAAGAAATGCCTGAAAAACAAATAATGCCACTCACTACAAAAGTGTACCTTCACCTTAAAAATTAGTGAAATGGCCTTCTTCTTCATAGATAAATCTCTTCCATATATAAACTTAATCTCTATAATCTCACTCACCTGCCCCTTTCACTTCATGTTACCATGATTGCCTGGGACTATGTCACCTGCATACAGATGACTCTGGTATCTAACCATCCCCAGTTCAACTCTCTCCCAGGTTCAACTGCTAGACAGCACCCTTTGAAGAACATAAAAATGCATGCTCCTTTGCTACTTTGGGAAATGGTACCATCAGCTTAGTCCTCTAACCTAGAAACCAGGGAGTCACATTCTATTCCTCCTTTTTCTCATGTCCCACACCTTTCTATTATACTTTCCTATACATCCCTACCACTGTTGCCCTGACTCAGATCCTTATTTTTATCACAACAGCCTCCTCACCTCTCTCTAGGTCTCCCTGCTGCCAAAGCCATCTTTGTAAAATTCCAGTATGACCGTGTGACTGCCTCATTTAAAAACCCTTCAACAGAGGCCTTAAATATTTGAAACAGTCTAACACCTAATAAAGTTTCCACATTTACATGCAAAACCCTTAGCCCCTAGTCTACAGAGTTAAAATGCTTTAATAATTAACAAATTAACTTGAATTAAATTAATTTTCTTACCTCCTGCTCAGAGAGCCCATCAATAATTTCAGAAATCTCATGCTCACTCCTAGCAATGGTGGCTGAAAGACCAGCTCCCCTCTGTCCAACTCTAAACATGAGGGAGAAATTAAAATATATTTAAAGGCCTTTTATAAAGAAGGCATACCAATTAAATTAACTATATATTACTTTTCTGAATGGAACTTTTTAACCAAGTTAAGAGAAGAAACATAAAATACTATTGAGTATCTACTTTTAAATAATATGCTTGGGCTGGGGGCAGTGGCTCACGCCTATAATCCCAGCACTTTGGGAGGCTGAGGCAGGCAGATCACAAGGTCAGGAGTTCGAGACCCACCTGACCAACATGGTGAAACCCTGTTTCTACTTAAAATAAAAAAAAAATTAGCTGGGCCTCATGGCACGCACCTGTAATCCCAGGTACTCAGGAGGCTGAGGTAGGAGAGTCATTTGAACCCGGAGGTGGAGGTTGCAGTGAGCTGAGATCACGACACTGCACTCCAGCCCGAGTGACAGAGCGAGACTCCAGCTTAAAAAAAAAAATAAACTGGCCAGAGGCGGTGACTCATGCCTGTAACCCCAGCACTTTGGGAGGCCGAGGCAGGTGGTTCACGAGATCAGGAGATCGAGACCATCCTGGCCAACATGATGAAACCCCATCTCTACTAAAAATACAAAAAAAATTAGCTGAGCATGGTGGCACACGCCTATAGTCCCAGCTACTCGGGAGGTGAGGCAGAGATTGCAGTGAGCCAAGATCGTGCCACTGCTCTACAGCCTGGGTGCAGTGTGAGAGTCCGTCTCAAAAAAATTAATTTTAAAAATAATAATATGCTTGTGTCACCTATTAAAAACAATTTAAATGCTATGATTGAGATTTGAAGGTTACATGTTCAAATTTAAATGGTAGAACTAGTTATGGAAAACTTCTAAAAAACCATAGTTATTGATGCCATTTCCATTTCAAATAGCAGTCTTTGTATGCCCTGTAGTAGACTTAGAAAAATATATGAAACATTTTTTAAACAGAGAGAAAAAACTCAACCAACATCCCTTAAAAATTTTAATTGTGAGTTAAGGGGCTTACATGACTTTTTTTTTTTTTTTTTTTAACATGACTCAACACGAGACAATAAAGAAGAAAACTAAAGCTTTTAGCAATTTTGTAAAATACCTTTTCACTAAAAGTGAAACAAATCAGAATCTACCAAAGTCAAACAATTTCTCAATTGGCCATCAACTGAATATAGTTTGCTTATGTTGGTAATGAAGGAATAAAGGATATTCAGGTCTGTTCTTATTAACTGTCATTTCCAAACTATTTAATATTTTTAGGAACTAAATTTAGTTCAGAATTAATTTCAAAATATTCACTTATATTTAGATTCAAGAGGATAATATAAAAATTAAATTTACTATGACATAATGTTTACTGGTTGATAATAAAGTTTTCGTTACAACATAAAAGTTCTTTTAACTTTTAAGTTCATGGGTACAAGTGAAGGTTTGTTATACAGGTAAACTTGGGTCAGGGGGATTTGCTGTACAGATTATTTCATCACTCTGGTATTAAGCCTAGTATCCACGAGTTATTTTTCCTGATCCTCTCCCTCCTTCATCCTCCACCCTCCACACTGATAGGCCCCAGTATGTGTTGTTCCCCTCTATGTGTCCACAACATAAAAGTTCTTTATAAACTTTCTTCATGATCAGTTACAAGAAACAATAAATATTTGAAGGAAAATATCACAGTCATTAAACATCAAACTACTTACCGCTGAAATCTTTCTTGCTGTTCTCTTTGTTTTCGAATTTCTGGAAACTGCTTTTCATAGTATTCCCTTGTTTTGCTTTCTTTAGCTTTCCTCCGAGGATTATTTTCTATTCTGTCCACTTTTTTCTCCCATGCCTCCATGAGCTGATCATAACGCTGGCAGATTTTTTGTTCCTATTAAATATCCGTAGCAAATTAATAATAATTAAACTAAACTCTGATTCGGACACACCTAGTACTTTAAAATAAATGCTACTTCTTAAGGTTAAGTCAGAAGTACATTTGGCTTATGATTCAATTGTGAATGAAAAGCTGAAAGAGGAGAGAGGAAAGGCAGCTCCGTTTCCTACTAAGATCAACACACAGAGCACAGTTTGGCTGGATTTTTTTATTTAACATTAAGGTTATGCATATTTATAAAGTACTTGACAATCTACTACTAGTATTAGCTGACCAGTTACTTTTATTTTGCTTAAAACATTATGTCACTGTTGTCCCCAAAAATGGAAAATTAAAAATAGAAACATATAAACAGTTCATAATCTGACCAATTACCCAAAGGCAACCATATGAACATTTTGTTGTTATCCTTCCAATCTGCGAAAGAAAACACGCACACTTTAACTGTTTTACTGTTCAAGGTTCTGGTTGATTGCCATTTTTGGCCATTATAAATAATGCTATATAATAAACATTTTTGACAATATGAAAAAGGCAGCGGTGGCTCACGCCTGTAATCCCAGCACTTTGGGAGGCCGAGGCGGGTGGATCACAAGGTCAAGAGATCGAGACCATCCTGGTCAACATGGTGAAACCCCGTC